GATTTCGATTGACGCAACCCTAAGGGCGATGGTTGCTAAGGGACAATCACCGAGGGTCAAGTGTCGTAGAGGATCGATGGTCGACGGTTGCCGAGATTTGGGTTCATGGGATCTGAGTTTGCACTATTTGGCTTTGCTACGATCACCTTGCTTGGGCCGCTAGAGGTTGCACGACCTCCAGCAAGGTCGTCAAGATCATGCAACCCTCGGTGTTGCCTCACCTCGGCCACTAGAGGGTTTGTGGGCTTCACCTCGAATATGACTCAACCATGCGGCTTTACCTCACCTAGGCCACCCAAGGTCATGCCACCTCAGGCAAGGGCCGCCGGGGTTCATGCTACCCTTGGCGCTGCCTCCCTTAGGTAACCCGAGGTCACATGACCTAGGTAATGCTCGGCCTGAAATCACGCGACCTCAACGTCATGTCGCTTGGCCTTTTCAACAGCTCAAGCCTCGCCGATTTCAATTACTTTCATCATGTTTGTCGGTTCTTCAATAGACGCTTTATCCCCCCTACACACCCTTCTACCCCCTTTGTTTTTTTTCACTTAAAAGTTACTTTGCCAAAAGTGCACCAAAGTAAGGGCAACAAAACAGTATTTGCTTCGAGTAAATACACCTTGAGTCAAAGATACTTTTGGGAAATGTCATTTCCCCGGATCTCCCCCAAAACGTGCCCGTGAATCAAAAATGGGAGCGTGGTGCCATCCTTGTCGAAACTATTGGGAGACAAATCCCATGACCAATGGAATAAGTCATCATTGTTTAGTTCTATTAACTACGCCATGAAATAAAAATCATAAGAGATAATGACACAAACAGTTTTTAAATTTTGGACCAATGTGTAATATGATTATCGAACTTTGGCCTAATATAGTCCTATTAGAAGGACTACATTAAACATTTTCATATAATTCAAAGATTACATTGAATACGTACTAAGAGTTCAAAGATCACATTAAACAAATTAAAAGTTCAGAGATCATATTGAACATTAAGTTAAAGTTCAGTGAATACATCAAACAAATTAAAAATTCAGGGACCACACTACATATTGAGTCAAAATTTAGAAATTGCTTGTGTCGTTTTCCCAAATCATAACTAAGACAACTAAGATGCAAACGAAAGTCAAGATTTAATTGCGAAACATACTTTCGAAGGTGAAAAATTTAAGGGTTAATACCACGAAAAACCCTAAACTGATATACCTGTGATAAATTTACCAAAAACTATTTTTTAACTACAAAAATCCCAAACTGAGACATCTCAGTGACAATTTTACCTCCGAACTATTTTTTTTTGACGACCAAAAACCCCAAACTGGTACACCTGCGATAATTTTACCTCAAACTAATTTTTTAATATTATTTTTCCGAATTTTTTTTCTTTTTTCTTTTTCCTTCATTTTCAACCTATGGCCAGCAAGGTCGGCCCCGCCGACCGCTGGAGAGGCCGACCTCGCCAGTTGCCAAAGAGGTCGGCCTCGCCTAGCAACTGGCAAGGTCGGCCTTGCTCGCCCCTAGCCAGGTTCGACCTCGCCAATTGCTGGCGAGTTCAAGCCTCGCCAGATCTGGCGAGGGGTCGTCCTCACCGTCGCTGGCGAGGCTCGGCCCCGCTGGCAACTGGTGAGGGCGGCCTCGCCCGCCCTTGGCGAGGCTTGAACTCGCCGGCAACTGGCGAGGTCGAACCCGGCCAGGGGCGGGCAAGGCCAACCTCGCCCGGAGTTCTTTGGGTGAGGCCGACCTCGCCGGCAATCTGAGAGGTAGAGCTTGCCCGGTGGCCGTGGGGCCGACCTCGCCAAGGCTAGAGGTTGAAGATGAAGGAAAAAAAAAAGAAAAGGGAAGGAAAAAGAAAAGAAAATAAAAAAATTTGAAAAAATAATATTAAAAAATTAGTTCGGGGTAAAATTGTCGCTGATGTACTAATTTGGAATTTTTGGTGGTCAAAAAAATAGTTCGAGATAAAATTATCACATGTTCAGTTTGGGTTTTTTGTCATCAAAAAAATAATTTTAGGTAAATTTATCACAGATATATCAGTTTAGAATTTTTCGTGGTGTTAACCCAAAATTTAATTCATGGAATGTATTAGATGGCGAAAATGGGGGCCCGTCTTTACCAACCAAAATATTCATAACAACGAGCACAAGGACCGTCGTACGTAACGTAAGTCTTCGAGATGGAAGTTCTACAAATTTGATCCCGTTATAAAACCCTTCGGAGCACTTGTTCACCAACCAAATGATAAAAAAAAGTTGCACTTTCCAAATCGTTAACTCTTCTCCTGATATATTTATAACTAAAAAAGAACCCAAATTTCTCATATTTTTCATCTTGTGTTTGCGCTCGAATCGCTATATTTTCATTCTTATCGGACCGTCCAAAAACGTAGGCTTACAACATAGGGAAATGAACATACTTACGGGCCTAATTCATTGTCAATTGACATCGGACACTCAATATTGTAAAGAGCAAAAAAAAAAAAAAGGAAGAAAATTGTTTTACAAATATTAAAAACTTGATCTGTTAACGAGTAGTATCGAGGCACTGTTCAAAGCTGGCACTCATTAAATATACTCGATCAAGAATAATTCACTTTTCAAAGTATTAATGATGAGTAACTCGAGAATAAACACCGCGAAATTCCCTCAATTGATTACTTAAGAAGTGGTCCAACAAGAAAAAGGAGACTCTTCTTTTGCCCGTAACGAAAATAAGAATGTTTTAAAGAGGGAAACTGTGCAAATTCCGGAGAATTCGGGGCGCACAAGTGGAAATAAGCAAAAGTTTGGGGGCCGGGGGGAGAAAGAGAAGGGGACAGGACAGGTGCGTGCGTAATGATTGCAGTGGAACAGGGCCACAGGGGGCGGGACCCACCCCACCACCCCCCCCCCCCCTCCTCCCCTACCGCTTGCGTCACGGCCCCCTCTTTATGTGGTGGTGGTGTCGCGCTCGCCCACTTTGTCCTCTTGCGGCCGCTCTCCTACCTTCTCTCTCCCCTCGAATTGTCGATTTTGCCCCCTCCTCCTCTAAAAAAAATATTATTTTCGACCCGATCCAATAATTCCCGAATCATTCGACCAAAATAACAATAATAATAATAATAATAATAATAATAATAATAATTTCCGAATTATTGTTTTACGGTGTCACTGGCTCCACCTATCTTCGAACACCCGACTAATCTTGGCGAACCGTGCTGACCGCGAGGCGGACCCCATGCTCGTTGAGACGAAGAAAGTCCCGGGATGGTATCGAGAACCAGCTTTCGCACGCGTGATTTGTTGATAAGTTCCAATAGGACCCCGATTTGCCTCGTTTTTTAAGAAATCCATTTTAATATATTATTATAGACTTTTTTCAGGAGATCGTTTGAGGACTCGATACCTAAAACTTTAGATAGCTGGAAAATTGCTTCTTCTCGTGAAATTGTTTTCGCTAAATTGGATTGCCATCCTGATGCCACCTAAGCAATTGAAAAATGTTTTCCGTATGATATTTTTAGCTAAAAGAGAATAGATTTTCGAATAGTTTACATAACTAGGTACAATTTCTTAACTATTTCTATGCATAAAGCAATATGATGTTTATGAACTTTCTAGATGCTCTTGAATACAGGTTTTAGGATAAAATAGTCAATATGCCATGAAGTTTTATGGCATATCGAAATATAATTTGAATTGTTTGATTTCTATTGCTATCCCGCATTTTTCAGTTTTATGCCATGGAATTTTAGTGTCCACTTATTATGCGTATTTATCAAAAGTGTTTTTTCAATTTCCAAAGTGAGCCTCACACGTCAAATGATAAATAATACGACGAAAATAGCATTATTTCCTTTTAACACCTCGTGCCCGAAAAAGAAGAAGAAAAATCTCAATCTATTTATCATTCTGGTGCTCCCTTAAAAATCAAAATGATCCGCTACCCTCTTTTTCATCGAGCAACACAAATCATTCATTTTCTTTCAGGAAAATAATTATTTACCACCATACGTTATTAGTCCGCGATCACACGGCCATATATTTTCACGCTCATTTTAATATAAAATGCATTAAAAAAAGGGGGGAATCACATGAATTTCACTCAAACGAGTGACGTCGTAAGTGCCGCGAAGTGAATAAACAAAAACCAAAACAGAACGGGAAAAAAAAAATCAATAATATCAGGAGCTCCTCCATTTTGCTGGTTCACAAAATTCTCAGAGCACCGCCAGAAAAAAAAAAGGAAGGAAAAGAAAAAAAATAGAGAAAAAGAAAAGGAGGGGTTTTTGCTCTCTCTCTCTTCCCCATCCCTCACTGAAAATCGCCAGGTTCGATTCTTCCCCCATTTCCTCCTCCCCCTCCTTTGCATCTCCCATCGATTCTCTCTCTCTCTCTCCTTCCCTCCGCGCATCCTGATTGTTCCGAGTATCTTCCGTCTTCGCGACTGAAGGAATCTGTGCTCTGAGCTTGGTCGCGTGTTGGTTGCTCGCCGCAGATTTCGCGCCCCGTCTCGATCGGCCGGCGGTGAAGGTCCGCGGATCTCTGCGAGGGGTTTGTTTCTTTCTCGCTCCTCCTCCTCCTCCGCCTCCGCCGCCGCTGGAAGGTTCCGATGGAGGAAGGCGTGGAGTTCTCGCCGAGGTGATGATCGAGTGGGGGGGAGCCTTTGTGTTACCTGGTGGCGGCCCGGAGGTCCGATGCGCGATGCCGCGACGTCGGTGACGATCGAGGGTTTTTTTTCCCCCGCCGATTCCTCGCTGTTTTTCCCGGTGCCGGATGGCTGCTCGGATGCGGATTCGGGCTTAGGCTGTTGATTTCCCCCCTTTTGAGTAGGTATGGGAGCTGCGGTTTTGGTAGAGGCGAGCGGGTGAGGATGTGAGGTGTGTTTTTGGATTTGTGCGATGAGTCGAGGTCGGAGTTAGTTCGGCATGTTGTAGTTTCTGGACGCGGGAGGAATTGGCTTTTGCTTGATCGGGGATCGGGGTGCTTCTCTTTTTTTTTGTTCGCCGCAGCTCGGAAGATGGAGGAAGAGAAACGCTTTGCGGCCTGGAGCAATGACTTGGAGCCGGGGAATCAGACGAACGGCGAGCGTTTCGCGAAATCTGGCGAGCCGAAACTTGAGGAGAGCGGGAATGGAGATTTCGTTGATGGAAGTGGCGATCTTTGTCTGGAAGGTGGCGAGGGCCCTAACACTCTCTGCTCGACCGGAGGTTCCCATGTAAGCGAAGACGCGAGGGCGTTGTCGGGTTGCCCTTGCAGCTCCAAAAAGCTCAAGTCCGGAGTAGGTCCGGCGGATTCGGGGCTCTCGAAGAAGGAGAAGTATGGGCCGGACAAGAAATTGAGTAGACAGGACAGGATTGAGCTGTGCAGGCTGTTTCAGGGAGCAGTGAGCTCGCATGACTGGGAGCTTGCGGAGAGTTTGATACTGTTGGCTGATCCCCAGACACTCAATGATACTTTATGCATTGCTCTAGACTCGATATGGTTCTTGAGCACTCATCAAGAGCTACACGGGATCACCGGATTGATAAAGAATATCATCGCTAATGGTGCTTATGATTTCACGAGAGCGGCTCTTAGGACTTCGTTTCTGGCTTCCTGTGTCTCGGCTTGCCAAAGTCGGACAATGAGTTTGGCAGATACAGTAACTATGATGGCCCAAAGGCAAGAACTGTAGCTTTCTACTAATAGATTATTTCCGATTGGCAAAGTTCCATGAACTATTCGTGCTGCAGTTTAGCTTGCATAGATCTGTAGAACTCAGATCACCAATGGCTATGAATCTCTATCTTTGTTCTTACTATCTCTGTCTCGCTTATGTGAAGTTATTCCGCTGCCTTGGTTATGTAAACCCTCTCGAAGCAGCGGAGCTTCATCCATTCGGATCATGCTTTATATGTTCTTTCCTAGAATCCGTGGCAAGTAGATTTGTGTACATATGGTGCTGGTTGTGTGCGAATCTTATCTTGCTCATTTCTATCCCATTTGGATATATGTCCTGATTTGTACACTGCTTTTAAGTTTTTATAGATCTTGCTTGATGGGGATTCGTGCTCCGTGAATTAGCGTCAATTTGATCAGCTGCAGGTCAAAAAAGTTGAGATACTAGTTAGCTGGTGTCCTCTTTCTAAATCCTTAAAACACATGCTATTTGTTGGGAAGGATTCCTTGTGATTAGCCCATATAAGGCAATGAACGCATGCAATGAATATGCAGCTGCTTTAACCATACTAGTGTAGAAAAATCAGCGCATGGAGCTTATACATTTCACTCCCTGTAAGAATCTCATCATTGCTTTCTATATCAGGTTGCACGAGCGTCTCCAAGAGTGTAATGGTGATGAGGTTCTGAAAGCAGAGGCTGGTGCTAAGGTCCAAAAATTTTCTGAATGGGCATTGAAGTGTATTGGATTGCATTCTCGGTGCCAAGGAAATAGAGATAGGATCAACCACAGCTCAGCTGTTGAAATTCAACTCCAGCTCTCTGCATTTAAGACATTCCTGGATCTTGCTGGTAATCATCTTACAGGGAAGGACTTCACGGAGGCTTTTGACGCTGCTTGCTTTCCTCTTACTCTTTTCTCTAGTACATTTGATCCTGGTTGGGCATCTGGTATAGCTGCAACTGCCATCCAAGGGTTGCTGGGCATGCTTGTCGAGGGGGGTGCTGACAATGTTAACCAGTGTTTTCTTGAAGCATCACGGTTTGGAAGCACAGAACTTGTGCGCATTCTGTTACAGGTGATCTTTCTAACCTGTTTATTTTCTGAAAATTCTTTACTTTAGTTTGCATGTGCTCTTTGTGAAAATATTTTCATAGAACATCATTCCAGTTGTGTTCTGTATTTTCTATTTCCCTTGACTCGGGTTTCTTGTTGATGCTTCTCTTTCCAATGCATGAGAAGCAAATGTTTTTTCTCAATTGTAATTCTTATGCATCTTTCTCATGTACGAATTTTCTTTGTTGAATGTGCTGTATGGAGTACATTAGTTAAGTTTCATTTTCAGTTGTTGCTTGGTGGATGATTTCTATAAAAACAGAGATACATACTTCTCAGGCTTATCAATGACATTTCAGTGGCATGATTTGTGTGGTTAATATTAGTGTGCCCTGGTTCTTGTTCTGATCGCCTCCACAGAGTACTGCTCGATATGAAATTATTTTGGTGCGCTATGGAATCTGGGAATCCGCTTCTGATGCCTCAAACAAACTAGAATTTGTTTGGTTTCTTGCGTAAAAGTCCAATTAGAAGGTTGATTGGTAATCTGACTATTCAGGGTAAACCATCTTGCCACCATAAATTTTTTTTGGCCTAAATGACAATGTCCCTTAATTTGACTTTTTGGGCCGAGATAATTTTCATGGTTTTAAAATGCTGTCCCAAGCATCTGGGGGTTCACAGACCATCGTTTCAAACTAACACTGACACCTCCAACAAAAATAATACAAAACAGGCCCAAGCTGGCAGAGCCTGGTCAAAGTTTTTTTTTCTTTGCTGAGCAAGATAAGTCTTGTTAAAGGCGAGAACCTTTATTCAACTCAGAGGATGCCGCCTGAGACATTTTTATCGTTTGACCATTTGTGGACTCAGATAGTCATAATATGTTCCTTTTGCTTCAACGGCTGGATAGAGGATTGAAGCTGACAAACCTATGTGAAACAAGGATAACTATTTACTGATATCCTTTCTCCAAATGAACATTTGTTACATTTATGACATGGATCTGTCAGCGTGTGCATGCACTTATTTCTTTTTCCTTCCTTTTGCCAAGTTCTTGAATTTTAGGTACCAGTTTAGATGAATTAGTTGCTTCCGAAGTATAGAAAAGGACAAGATAGATAGCTAGCTACATGCCCTAGTGCAAGATTCGAAGTATAGTCTAAATAACTTAATGGTATCCTTCAATTAAACATAGAAATTCGGATTGATATTTTTGGTAGATCAGTGTAACGTGAATGATGCATGAGATAGTGGCATATATTCTGGTGAAAATGGAAGTGAACAGGCAATTAAATAACTGAAAATATGAAGCGTGTCTTTGGATTTCTTTTATGATTTGGACTGTTCTTCAATGAGGTACAATATGGAAGTAGATGGTTGGTTTGTAGCTGTTGCCAATAACTGAATATATGAATTCTCTTGTTAATGCTTTGCTGGACGTGGTTCAGAGCTTGAGCTTTGTTTATATGTATGCTTGTATGTCTGCTTTCTTGACTACTAGCCACGGGTTTTTTTAGAATATTCATGTTGAAGAGTACCTTTGTTCATTACTATAGTTTTACAGTAGTTTTTTTTTTTTTTGATAAACTTACAGATTATTTGGTTTGTTCTGTCAGATTGCTCAGAGGAACAGCTTGGATGTTGATGTCGACTTGGCTTTGGGTTTTGCTTCTCACTATTGCAAGATTGGGACAATGGAGTGTCTAGTTGAAGAGGGGAATGCAATGGCTTTCTTGGGTCCTTTGTTGAGGGCAGCGGAGAGGGGTTGTTTGGAGGTTGTGCAGTGGTTTGTGAGGAGGCGCTGTCGAGATATGGAGCTTTGCCTTGCCCTAACTGCTGCAACAGCTAGCAGCCAAGTGGAAGTCGCTGCGTATCTCCTCCCTCATGTTCCTCAACCCAACCTCACTGCTCTCAGTGTTGAAATTCTTAAAGCCGCCGGTGAACGAAGTGGTGGTTCTCTGGATGGTGTAGCTTTTCTAATGCGATCGGATTTTCTTGGGGATCCGGTTGCAACTTATGCTGTCGCTGACAGCATTGCTAGGTCAGAAGATGAGTCGATAGATCCTTTACTGCGGGCTTTTCTTCAAGAGCACTGGTCAGAGGCAGCTTTTGTTGATGGGCTGAGGCAAGGCCAAATACATTACATGAATTTCATGCGGATACTGAAGCGGGGTGAGTCTCCATTATGCTTGACAGATATTCCTGGACCTCTGAGGGCCGCGATCGCCTATCTGCCATTGTACAGAGAGTGCACTGAGGCAGGTGGCTCCTTGCTGTCCCAAAGACTCAGGGGACAGCTTGTTGAGGCCGTGAGAAGGCTCGAGAATGCAGCCTTAGAGCCAGTACGCCCTTGCAGAGAGCTCTTATCTATTTTGGAGCATCACCTTCCTCGATTTTTGCTCAGTGCTCCGAATGTTGCCTAGCAAGAGTTTTCCTTGCGGCACCCTTTTTTCTCCGTGCTTTTACTTCTCTCTATCCCTCTATATTTCCTACAAATCACTGATAATAATCGCATGAAAGCGGGTTGAAGGTGAGAAAGATCTTCGAAGGTAGATGAGATTTTCGTTGAAGTGTCGCCTTGCTGGCTAAAGCTGTAGTGCCTCTCGGCTTATCTGCCGCATCATCCTCGTGTGCCACCGTATGAAGAGTATGGGTATTGATCTAAATATGTAAGAAGACAGAACAAACTTGGATGTGCATAGTTTGTTGGCAAGCTCCTTAGTTTTATTGTAATACCCGTGGCCGACTTCTTACTTCCTATGATCCCTTTTTGGTCGGGTCATGTGGCTTCTCTCGGGGGTAAAGAAGGGTGGGTACCGATCTTATACACGTCTTAAAAGATGCTTCAATGGCTGTGGAAAGCGACTTGCATACTGTAATGCTATGTTGGTCTAGTTAATGCTTCCTCGCAATCTTTTTACAGCTAGTGCTTGATCGGCTCAAAACACGTACAAGCTTGAAAAGACTTTTGTTTGGTAATCCAAACATCATTGCTTCCATTTAGAATGGAAACAAAGGACATTATCATAAGTTTTGGTCCTTGTGATTGAAAACGCGGAAAAATGATACTTTTTTACGGTCCCGTCGTCGAAACAACCAACTGGAGAAAACTCTTCAGCAACGGTTGCTGTGCTTTTGTCTGGTTTAGCTAAGGGTCCAGAGACTCATTGTGCTCCGGTGATGCGGCGCATCTCGCCGCCAACCTTAGGCAAAAATTGGTGGCGAGTTAAGACACTCACCGCCATGACTCGGCGAGGGACACCGTCCCTCGCCGAGATCATGGCACTTGTGACTGCCCTTTCCTGAGCATGGCGAGAGTCCCGACGAGGGTCTGGTGACCGTTGCTGATGGTTTTGTGATGGCCCATGTGGCCTCTCTGTCTTTCTCTCTCTCCCTCACTCTCCCCCTCCAGTTCTTTTCTTTGGGTTTTCTGAAAATTTTTCACTTCCGCCTCATCGTTTTGAATCCAGTACGCATCGGGATCGTCATTCCTAATCTAATTTCAAGGACCGATATGAACCTAAAGGCCACAGTTTAGGTTCTCGATTGGCTAAAATAAGTTTTGAGGAGTAGATTAAACATTCGAAAAAGGTCTATACGGAACTATCGAAACCATGGATGGGACCCCACATGCTATATCATTTTCGGTAAGCAGAACTCCTATGAGTCCAATCTATAGATTACATATCTACATCTAACCACATGCGCGGTCGTGCATCCGAAACCTTGGCAACGTTAGGACTCAAGATTGGTCATTTACAAGTTCAGGTACCTTTGGTTCTTCCTTTACTGGGTTTAATTAGCTTTCAAGGACATTGATTAGTGCCATTGTTTGTGGCGAGTGCACCAAACTTATAGGCATTTGGCACTTCTCTCAGTGCCAATGGCACAAAACTAGTAATCTATTATTACATCCTTGATTACCTCGACCGGACAATAAGATTGTCAAATGCATGATGCAAATCGTTTTCACTTGATAGATTCCACCATTATACGCCCAGTGGCACCACGTCAATTCCACAATTCCCAATAGACAAAGATATATCCTGGCAAAGTTATAGATTTCATTTCAAGTTCCTGACAGAGCAAGTGTTGACCAGATACGCAAAGGATAACAATGGCATGTACAGGTCGCGGCATGCACAATTTAACCGATGTCTCATGACCGCAATTTATGAGAAGTCGATGTTAAAGAGCATCTCAACTGAGGTATCGAAGTACCAATGAAGGAAACGTTTGAAAATCCTCTTTCTTCTTTCTCCTCTTTGAACACCGGAAGATCGGGTTTACAAGAATGGTATGATCGACTCACGAAATGAAACACACACTCTTTACATATATGCGTACGTCAAGTCCCTCACATTGGAAGGCATAAAGGCCAGTATCACGAGCACAACCAGAATGCCGATGGGAAGCAAAAGCAACATGAATGGGGGAGGCGGCAATGGCGGGAGTATCAACGGTAGTATGAGCAATGACACCGTCAGGCATATCAACACGTACAACGACTGTAAGCTGAAATATCCCGAAGCCGGCAACAGTCTCTTGGCACTTCTCTGCCGATTGTACTCCATCTTCTTTCCCTCAGCCAACCATCTCGGTTCTGACCCCATTTTCCTGCTGTATTCTATGTTCTTGTCTGCTGGTCTTCTCACTCTCCTATCCATTATGAAACCCAGATTTATGATTCCCTGTCTCTGTCTCGGATCTGCTTGATCAAGTTCGGAACTCATCTACAATTATGAGTGCTCCTGCACGGCAGATGGGGCCAATGCTTATCTGACTACCAACCAAATGAACCAAAGGAGGGCGGACGACGCAAGTGCTTAACGTTCGATCAATTCCCTTCTCTCAGTATCCTCACTGAGGATGTTTAGGTAGTAACACCAGGCCGATATGTGCTAATTACAACTCGGAGATGCTGAAAGAACAAGCAAGACGTCTCCCGAAACTCAAGTGCATCCGGTGAATTCTCTGAACTCCATCGTCTTGTACATCCACTTGCCCGCTAAAGTTCAGATTGAAAGCCGCGAACGTCGTTCCCAACGATCCAGCTGCAATACGACGGTGAAGCAACAAGATCAATGCAGAGAAAGCACCTCCCTTGCAATCACATTTCATCCTAGTCAATTCAACAATGTCTCCTCCACCACACAATCCACACATATACCAAAACACAATGTCCCCAACTCAAAATCAAAGAGAGCTCACAGGATCCATGCATCTCTCTCTCTCTCTCTCTCTCTAAAAGGTTTCTTTTTCCTTCCAAAGATCTAAACTTTAAACAACGCTATGAAAAAATGAGTTCTAATGGACAATCAGAACAAGCCCACGAATACTAAAACACCTCCAAACGGCCACAAACTAAACCCAACACAATCAACCAAACAGACGGGGAACCAAGCTAAAGACGGGTACCTGTGATACCGAATGAGATGGCAGCGATTGTTATGTGGAGATCTCAAACCATCCGGACAAGAACAAGGAGAAGACGGCAGACAGATTCGGCCAGGGGCACATCTTCGCATCTCAGCCCCTCCGGGCGCCCCTCGCTCTCTTCCAAATTCTTCAACTTTCGTCTCGTTCTCTACTCAACTCCCCAGAATCCCAAAGACCCAGAAACGGGGGAAGGCGCAAGTGCTGCGGAACGGGTTGCGCTCGGTCAAAAATAGCCAAGAAAAAGAGATGGAGAGGGAGGTGAAAAGAACGGCATGTGAGTGATGCTCCGCTTTCCCGAGGGGGAAGGGGCGGGCGATGGGGATGGATGGATGAATGAATGAAGGAACGAACGAAGATTTAGGTGCAGTGTATTTGATTGAATTGATGAAACGTAATTATTGTGAAATTGAACTGAATTGAATTATAGGAAAAAAAAAAGTAGGAAAGAGAGGAGAAGGGAGCAGAAGGCAGAAGAAGGGAGAGAGAGAACGAGACACGAAGATGGGTCTGGTTCAGTGAACGGCAAAGTCAAGTGGGGTGATACGAAAGTTGCTTGTTCTGGAATACATTTCACATCTCTCTCTCTCTCTGCCTCTGCCTCCCAACCCAAGGTTCTTCTCCCCTGGACTCCCTCTCTCCCTGTCTCTGTCCCCACCCTCTTTTTCTCTCTTTTGTTAGCAAAACTACCGCGGTTTGCCACCCTTCCTAGGGGCGTTCAAGGAAACTGAAACCCCCCACCCGGAAATCGGCAGTTTCCGTGAGGATTAATCCGATTTTCAGTTCCAATTTATTAGAACCGGTGAGTACCGATCCAATTTTCGATTCTAGGTATAGAACCGCCCACTTGATCACCCAGACCGGATCGATAATATATATAGTTTTTCGAAAAAAATTTCGACCAAAAAAAAAAAATATTTTAAGAAAAATGAAAACCCTAAAATCCCTAATCTAAAGCTTTAACGCCCATCAACTGAGTATTCGTCTAGTCTCGTCTCGTCTCACTCTCACTTTGTCTGAATCGTTTCTCTATATCTCATTCATTGTATCGACTCTTAAGCTCATTGTCTACTGACTCATGGCTTCGACTCTCAACTCCCGTCAACTCACGGTCGCACCTCCGACCATTCATCGGCTCCATCTCTCGCTCTCGGTCATCTCCATTTACGTGAAATTTGATGGGACCGGTTCCATGGACCCATCAGTGAATCGGACCGGATCGCGATTTGGTTCCCCGGTGGATTCGTGGAACCGATAAGCGGTTCTCAGTTTCAATTTTTCGGAATCAATCTTTAGTGGGCAGTTTCCCGGTTCCATGATAGAAACCGTCCACCCAAACCATATTCACCTCTAACCCTTCCTATTTGGGAAAGGAAAGGTCTTTTCAGGGGGCTAAGGGTGGAGATATTTAGTTTCAGACGTGGATTTCGATTCCGACGTTTTACAAAGAGACATGACAAAAGTCTAGAGTAAGTTAAGAATTAGAACAGATAAAATAATAATTATAGCATTATTTTATTTATATCATAAGTCGATATATTGAGTTTTGTTAAATTATACTATTCTCTTTTCCTTTTCTTTTTCTTTTTACATTCTCCCCTCTCTCTTCTTTTTTCTTCCTTCTCCTCCCGAGCACCTCCTCCCCCGTTTGTGCATCGCCGCAGTCGCCACTGCCAATCGGTGACGTCCCTCATCTCCTGCCAGCCATCGAGTCTGATTGGCGCGCCCCTCTTGGCCTTATTTGCAGTTGCGATCTCATATTAAAGTCATCAATTTCAGGCGACCCAGATCGAAGGTTGCTCAAGACCGATCGACTTTTGAGGTGTGATGTTGAGCACCTCCGAAAGGTGCAATCAATTCACAGGTGCTCACCATCACACCTCGGTTCATTTATATAATATAATATAATATAATATATATATATATTTAAAAAAAAGGAGGAATTATGATTGGTTGGATATGCGTTTGATTTTTTTTTTCTCGATTTTTCCATAAAGTTGCGTAAAACGAGGGAATGTGGCTCAACTTGGACCATTTTATTTGATCGTTCATGTGTCTGAGTATTTAAAAGCAGTAAATTTAAGATGTGAGTAAATCTCCTAATTTTTTTTTTTACAAAAAAATTTCCTAAATTTAGAGGATCTGTAACCTTGATACCAACTTGATTATTAGCATGCATTGAGAAAATGTGAAAGGGTTGAATTCGATGTGTTAATAATTGTCCTGGTTAGGTGGGCCAGGCTTGCAGTTTATAACGTCTTTACTTATATGTACTCACATCTTGTAGTTTACCGCTACTACTTTTCCAGTTCTTATAATCACATTAAAGAAAAAAATATCTAACTGATTATTTAACAAGTAAGCGCGTTTATTTAAGCAACCTCGGATGATGCTACTCTAGAGGCATTTGTCTTTGTGCTCCAGTGATTACACAATTTTAGAGGTCAAATTTTGAAAAAGAAGAAGAAGATAAACATAATTTGTCACTTTGGAGATGAGAATGCTTACAATTGTAAAGTTTTTTGTCAATCTCAAATTCGTCGATTTGGAACACGAATTCGAACATTTCTGGGTTTCGCCATCCTCGTGAATTTCTAGGCAATTGGAACAAGTTTGAGTGGTCCTTCGTTCTTGGATTTCCAACTAAAAACTTTTGCCAAAGAAGATCCGACAGAGAATGTTAATTAGAATAGAGGGTAAAATCAAGAGAAGTTGCGGTGGCAGAAAAGAAACAGGAAGAGAAGGTGGAGATGGACTGACAAGCATCCCATCTTTGGTGGGAGAAGAAGATCAAGGGTAACATTGAAAACAGAAGAGGGAAAATTCCCGAAATCATCTCGAAGATGTACCGTTTCTTAAAGTTTAACCTCAGAAGTTAGATTTTGTTTCAAAATAGCCTATAAATCTATTCAATTTGATCTGATAATCCCATGAAGTAGGGTTCGTTTCTCAAAGTTTTTGCCAAGACTTGACTTTGTTCCAAAATACTCGTGAACTTGATCACTTTGACTTGCTAACTCCTCAAGCTCATCGGCATAGAAAGATAGTGACAGGCTAATGAGCAGGTGCATGTTTCGCGCCTTTTCCAGAGGCATTTTAGTTTGGAAGAAACGAAAAATGCAATCCTCTCGTGCCACGCGCATGCACATAAAAAAGCTCTGAAGAGTGTCAAATTTGACCCGCATATATAAATCGTGAAGAAAGTGCTAGGGTTTCTCGAGCATAGATCGGAATATTGGAGATGGATGATCGCTGCCAATGTGGGAGGAGAGTTGTAATGCGAATGTCGTGTTGTGGACTCGACTCAACCCAGATAGGTGCTTTGTACGTGTGAGAAATACTGGGTAAAGTCAATTGAGGGTTTTTTAATTTCGATTTTGTAGGTTGCGATAGTTCTTGGACCAAAATATCCTTGGGAAAGGTGCGAAATGAGCACGTGACGAGCACATGTTCGTCGGCCAACTGTTATTTTCACCTGTAATGAACTATTGGATCAAAATGATCAAGCTCAAGAGGATGATTGGGTCAAAATGATCAAGTTCAGAGAGTATTATCAGAATAAAATCAAATTTAACGGAGATTTTCAAAACCGATGTTGCTTAGTAATTCCAAAATCCCTAAAGAGGACGTGTAGCACTGCTTTGGATCGTGATGAATACGCCCTCTTGCGTCATGTTCTTACTTGGATGATTTGATCTCTCGAAGTGTTTATTTTTATTTTTGGCAATCTTGACCCAACCCTTTGAGTGAATTTGAATCCACAAGGCAATCGACCTGGTTGGAATTGCTTCTACTCGACACAAGAACAAAAATCTGGTGTGACTAATATTTTTTTTTTGGTAAGGTAAGTGTGACTAATATTTAGTTCTCCTAAAGATTGTTTTACATATCAGGGACCAATTCGTAGTTTACAAACTACCTATTTATTTTACGATGATAATCTTAACGATTACCTAAAGGAAAATTTACAGTATTTAATACACTTATTTTCTTGCGTGACATGGGCAATCATGTTTTAAGAATCGAACTATTCTATACACATATTAAGCACCCTAAACACGTTCCTCGAAAGAGAATCAAACAAACAATATTAAAAAGTTGGGTATTTCCTAAATTAAACAGCTGTAGCATGTGGCGCATGACCACAAAGTGGACCCATGAATAAATTGAAAATCATACGAGACAAAGGACGTGAAAATGGGGGCCATTTCATTAGCTGTGGACCAGCTCC